AGGTCAAGTGTTCAGCACCTCGAGTATGTGCTCACCCTTGCTTGAATTTCAGGATTATTCACTCCGCAAGTCAGGACTGAATAGATGGGCAATCATTCTTAGAAACAGCTTAAAGATAATCTTTACTCACAAATGGAAACTATAAATTCTGACTGCAGTGCATTCCTAGGATGACGTATATGTTTATCCTAGCTCTGTTTCTTTTTTTTTTTCTAGCTCTGTTTCTTAAAGAAACTTTGCAAGAGGTGCCCAACAGTCCTGAAAACAATTTGTAAGGTTTCTGAGGTCATTGTGACCCAAAGGGTCAGAAGCAAGACTTCTGGAGCACCAGGCAAGGGGAAAGGCTTTGGGTGTTCAGATTTTAATCTTTTCATTGCTGAAAGCATTCTTAACTCCAGAGGTTGGAGGTAAATCTTTGGGTTTTGTGAGCTGCTCTCAATTGCTCCAACAAGGAGACTGTTACCATTTCTGGTGCTCAAGCTGAGGTCTCCTAAGTTCCCTGGGGCAGCGCTGGTTGCTGTGGGCACAATCTCACCGAGCTGCAGAAGGAAGAAATGAGCAGATGGGAAACGGATCTTGGCAGTAAATGTGTGTAAATATTTGACAGCCTTAACGTCCCAACCTAGGGAGCTCTGGTAGCCTAGTCATAAGAAGCTGCACTGCAATCCCAAATCCCAAAGGAACTTGGTTTGAATCCACCAGCCACTTGCAGGCAAGGGATGGACTATTTGCTCCCATGGAATTTACTGCCTCTGAAAACTTGCTGGAGGGTCCACTGGAGAGTTGATTCTGACTCAGCACACAGCAACCAAGTCCCAAGCAGATTTCTCTGGACACAGCCCCCTAACCTGTTGTCCCTAACTCCCATCAATAAATGGCATCTCTACCCACCTCTCACTGGCGTTTAAGGTGTCACTCTGCCCTTACAGTTCTAGATCCAAAATATTGCTTAACTCCAATCCACCCTCAAAGCCAGCTTTTAGAATCTACAGAAACTTCCAGAGGAGGCTGCTTGTTTCCAGTCTGCACTCCTCCAATTCATGCTCAAAATTGCCTAAGCAACATTTGGCAAATAAAAATTTACAAAAAAATGAGTATTTTTATTTTTTAAGAAAAATATCCAAACTCTTCAGCCCAACCCTAACCTTATTCCTAACCCTCCTTCTTTCACTCACTCCAGGAAAAAGAAGTTCCAGTTGCATTAATTCCAACTGCCTTCGCCACGGATCTCAAAGGCTGGTTTTCCAGAATTACATCTTCACGTCTTTCTTCCAATGTGCCTTTGGGTGGACTTGAACCTCCAACCTTCCAGTTAGTAAGTGAACTTGTAAACACTTTGAACCACCCATGGATTATTTTCAGTTCCTAACATAAATCAAGGGAGCTCTGGTGGTAGTCCTTGGAAGTTATCTTTTTAAACCAAAGCCTGTGCTTCTCCAGTAGTTCGAATCCACCACCAGCTCTGTTGGGGAAAGATGCACAGTCTTCTCCAGTTACAGCCTTGGAAACACAATGGCTTTGAGTTTGAGTGTGAATATAGGTCAAGGTCTTTCCTGCCTCGGGGCCTTGGACCTTGCTGTCTCCTCTGTGTGGAACACGCTCCCCTGAAAGGTGGGCTTGGCCGCTGTTATTTCATCCTTTCACTATCAGGTGAAATGCCACCTTCTGAGGGAGACCTACTCTGCACACGGAATCTAAATCTCCTCCTTAATTTCCTTTGCAGGATTTGTGGATTGTACTAATCTCTCCACTAATAAAGGCTACATAAAGGCAAAAACTAGTATCTTAAAATATTGCCTTAAAATACTCCTTTTATTTCACTTTTTTAGTAAGAAAACAGGTTTATTGATGTGTAACACACTCAGAAATGCATTCAGCTGGTAGAATTTCACAAAATAAGCACACCTGTGTAAGTAGCTCCCTTTTCAGGAAATAAAACTCTCTCAGGTCCTATGTCTCTCTCCTCAAAGGCCAATCATTATTCTGATTAAACTAGTTTTAGCCTGTATATAAATAAAATCACATAGTATTGTGGTAAGAAAAATAATTACTTTCACCCTTCGTAATGTATACTTTGTAATCTCCAGAATCCTGAATATGTTACTTTGCCTGGAAAAAGGGGCTCTGAAAACGGGAGTAAATTAAAGACTTTAAATTAGGAATTGAAGGTCAATTAAAGACCAAGATGTGTATGACGTAAGCCATAGTATTTTCAATTATTTCCTGGGTGCCTGAAAATCAGACAAAGACAATCAACACCCACAAAAGCATCAATCAAGAAGTCAAATGACACATGTGTATATGAACTTTGTAAGCAAACCAATATAAAAAGAAAAATTTTAATTAAAAAAAAGAATAAGGAAAACTAAAGAACTGATGGCTTTGAATGGTGGTGTTGGCATTGAACATATCAGAGACTGCCAAAAGAACAAACAAATCTGTCTTGGAGTACAACCAGAGTGTTCTTTAAGAAACAAGGGTGGTGAGATTTAGTATTTCATACTTGGAACATGTTGTCAAGAGGTACCAGTCCTTGGAAAAAGGACAGTAGTAGATGCTGCAGTATTCTCCCATCATCCCCTTAGAACTGAAGGGCCTATTCCCCCAGCTGTGGGAATTGCTGTGGACTGACAGCCAAGAAAAGACAGCCTTCATTGGTTGAATTCCTTAGCCCAAGGTCACACCTGCTTTCCAGGGGTGGCCTGCTTCTGTCCACGACTGGGTGAAGTGTGTGTCAGGGCATCACTTAGAAGGTTACCCAGCTTTCCAGCTCTCTGAGAGGAGGGAAGTCTTCATTGAGGCTACATCCCAATTCATTTCTGCCTCTATCTAAAACTGCTTCCTTTCCTCACCCTGTTGGTGTTAAGCCCGAGCACACCCTCTCATCAACTCCAGTGTGTCACTTTCCATCTCAGCAGAAGCCCAGCCTCTAAGAGCCTATTTCCAGTTTTCACAAAGATTAACAAGCAGTGTGTGATTTCCAGTTATTCAGCATTCTTGCCAACACTACTTTCTCAGACATTCTGGTGGGTGGGTACTGAGGACTCACTGTGGTTTTAAGTTAATATTTTCCTACTTACTAAAAAAGTTGAGGACCTTGTCATTCATTTATTTATTGGGTCACTTGGCAATAGCTAGACTAGTGTCTTACCCACTTTTTCAGGCTATCTTCTATTTTCTTACTGATTTGCATTCATTCTATTTCCTGGATGAAAGTTCTGCTATGTTGAAATATAAGGAGTTTCAGGAACGTTGTACATTCATAAAAAATGAGCCCCATTAATGCTAATCTGCAAGCTCTTAGAGAACAAATGTGTGGATAGGTGACTGTAAACATTGGTTTTATTAATATAATAGGCTATGTCTGTCAGATACTGTTCTGAATATGGCATTCTAATTAAGAAAAATGAAGAAGGATTGGCCATCCACTTCTGAAATAACAGGCCTTTGAAAACCCTACTTACAAAAGAGTACTCTTAGACTAGCAGATATAGCAACAGAGGCTGAGCCCTCAAATATGGAAACAGAAATGAGGAGGAACAGTTGTAAGCAGACACTAGTGATTCGAAAGCGGAATGTGAGAAACATGAATATAGGAAAATTGGACATTGTTAAGAACTCAGTGACTGGGTTGGTAGGGGTAGGTGTGTCAGAGACAATAAGGTTGGCTCAGGATAGAACAGGGTTCAGAGCTGTTGTATATAGGGTCGCTGAGTTAAAAGCGACTTGAGACCCTGGAGGACATTATGCTGAGTGAAATATCTCAGTCACAAAAGGACAAATACTGCATGGTGCCACTGTTGTAAACCAGGACTGACATCAGGTTCGGGGGCAGACTGAGAAAGATGGGTTCAATACTGTATACTGCATTGAAACAGATGAGAGAGAAAACTTTAAAAGGGATATGTGATTAGGTATTTTTGTCATGACAGGTGTCTAGAGCGAAGGCTACATGGTGGAGTGGACTTGGGGGAGGGTTTGTAAAACAATGAAAGAATTTTTCTTTTACTTTTCCAAGAGGATAGTGTACTAGGGGGGAGGGTTGGAAGAGGAGAAAAGTGCAACAATGGATGAATGGAAATCCAAAGTCTCTGTAAATTTTTACTGAAATTAATAATAAATTTTTTTAAAAATCAAGGAAAAAAAAACGACTTGAGGACACATAACAACAATGGCTACAGGATATGGATTCCAAGGAGAGGGAAATAAAGCTTAAAGGGAAAGATCTAGAATGCAGATAACAAACTCTAAAACACTTCTGCCACTCCCAGCTTGCGGTTTCTGGCCACCAGCATTTGCACACTCAGTTCCTAAGTGTAAAAAGGGTCAATTCACATCCATTCATTCAAAGAACTCCGGGGAAGATCTCCACAGGCCAGGCAGTTCTAGTCTCTGAGAAAGAGAAATAGGATATCTGTTACCAAGACAGAGCGAGAGGCATAAAATAATATTAATCCAGACCCTGAGACCAAGCATGCAGCGCGGCGTGTACCCCAGAATCTCGGGCTTGCCCCCCACCGCCGCCAAGGGCCCCTGGGAGACCCCGCCCTCGGACCCGCCCACCGCCGCATTGGCCCCCTGATTGGCCGACAGGCC